TAGATTTATGTCCGATCTTCAGTCCGTGATTTTATTCAATTCGATCTTTGAACCGATCTGATTTGATCCGGCCTTAGACCAATGAACAACACTACCATCAAGACCCTTTAGGCTCGCCACTACAAATGGCCTTAGCATGTTTGTTTTTCCAACTTAGTCATTAGAATCAATTAAGACCAAACTAGATGATACCAAAAATTGTTTTAGTTATAAATAAATTTAGATCAAATTAAATCAGACCAAATTAAATCAAAATTTATTCTAATCAAAATATAATCATTCACATCAATTAAAGAAACTACACACTAACATCTCACCACCATTGGAAAAAAACACGATTGCCGCCATAAAAAATGCACAAATATTTCCTCCCCGTTATTAATGGAGTGATGATGATGAGGTAATTGAGCTGTTACTCCCATTAAATTGTTATTATTATAATCCTCCGTAGCAAGCAATTAATGTTCTTCCCATTTATTAGTGTCACACAGCTAAATTGCCAAAACTATATAGTTCTTCTCTACCAGTATATGGTTTTCTTCTCCTCCTTTTTAAATGCAATGTCTAAATTCCTGAAGCAGATAAAGACTACAAGCTTAGTGCCAGCCATTACAAATCCACTCCTTAATCATCTTCCCTTCCCAAACACTTCCAGATCATGTCTCCCTCTGGAACCCCAACATAGGAGAAGAGAAAATGGTTAATTACATTCTCACAAAAGGGATCATCCTTCTCGTTATCACCCTCCTCCTTCCGTTCATCGCCGCCGGCTGCGGCTGCAATACAACCACCGCCCAGCCAGCAACTCCTCCTCCGCCGCCGCCAGCAGTTTTCGCAGATCACAGGCTTGCCAGAGCTCATCCAATCATCCAGAGATTCAAGAAGTCCATCACCAGCGACCCGTTTGGAGTGACCCGGACTTGGGTCGGCCCCGACGTCTGCAATTACACCGGCTTCTTCTGCGAGAGCCCGCCGGACAACAAATCCGCCGTAGCTATTGCTTCCGTCGATTTCAATGGGTTTCGTCTCAAGGCCCCCAGTCTCGATGGGTTTCTTGATCAGCTCCCTGACATTGCGATCTTCCACGCCAATTCCAACTATTTTTCGGGCACGATTTCTCCCGAAGTCGCCAAATTGCCATACCTTTACGAGCTCGATCTCAGTAACAATCTGTTCTCCGGGCAGTTCCCGGTTTCGATTCTTGGTATAAAGAGTCTGTCTTTCTTGGATCTTCGTTTCAATTCTTTCTCCGGGTCGGTTCCGCCCGCACTCTTCGCCATGGGTCTCGACGCCCTGTTCCTGAACAACAACGGGTTCACTCAGAGCTTGCCGGCGGTTTTCTCCGGCCGGTATTACTACCTGACATTAGCCAACAACAGGTTCTCCGGTCCGGTTCCGGGCAGCGTCTGGGCAGCCCTGTCGGGATCGGCCGAGGTTCTGCTGCTCAACAACTCCTTCGCCGGGTGTCTTCCTAACGAGATCGGGTTGTTGGAGGACGTTCTGATGATCGACGGGAGTTACAACCGGCTGACGGGGCGGTTACCTTGGTCGTTAGGGCGGCTGCGATGGGCGGAGGTGCTGAGCTTCGCCGGAAATGAGATGTACGGGGATGTGCCGGAGGCGGTGTGCGCGCTGGGGAATCTGGTGAGCCTGTCGTTGGCGGACAACTATTTCAGCCGGGTCGGGCCGGTTTGTTTGGGATTGATCGTGAGAGGGGTTCTTGACGTGAGGAACAATTGCATTCCAGGGATGCCGTTCCAGAGACCCATCTCTGATTGTTTAGATTTCTTTTCTTCTCCGAGATATTGTCGGCAGACATTTTCATAGTCCAAAGCTTCTTGTTTTTGCTTATCAATAGAAAGTCAACCATACATACATCCTTCAAATACTCTTCAAATACTTTATTCACACGCCAACTCACATATATTAATACATTTTCCCTCTCAAAAAAATAAGATAAACCCCATCCTTGACTGCCCCCTCAGACTCGGCCTCGCCGTAATTGAGAAGATCTAAATTACTTTCTCCGTCCTAAAAAGATCTTCCTGTTTCATTTTTTGTGTGTCTCATAAAATACTTCTATCCCGCCTCAAATGCAAAAAAAACTTTCAAAACAACTTCTACTTACAACAAATGAGAAATGTAGTAAATTTTAGACATTTTAGATGTGTATAGAAGTGTTTTATAGGATGCGCAAAAAATGAAACAGGAAGATCTTTTTGGGACGAAGGGAGTAGATTTTAATCGTAGATTAGTGACAAAGAATAAAGCATGCTCCTGGATTTGCAGAAACCCTATGCTTAGCATAGTTGCCTCCCGGTATAGTTATCAAGAATCAAATTCGGATATTCCCCCCTTGACACTCATTGTCTTGCCAACTGTGCAACGTCCACCGACACTTTTTCCCTCTCAAAATACTATAGTTCATCGTAAAAAATTGAGGCAGGTTCTGATGACATTGATTATCAATGTCATCGGATAACTTATGTTTTTCAGTACACCGTTCCCAAAAGTAATGATTCTTATCTCCTAACCTTTTCGGTAAATTCCCCACCCTCCCCCGACCCAGACACACCCCCTATAATTGCACCTCCAAAGTTAATTTTGATTTTGGAATCAAATTTTTACTCGAAAGTCAAAAATAACTTTGGAGTGCAATTGAAGGGGGTGATGGGGTTTGTTTGGGTTGGGGCGGGATTGTGGTTTTCTGGGGGGTCACAGGGGGTAGGACCATTAATTTTACGAATTGAATGAGACATCGAAGCATCCTCGGGTCATCCTCTGACATTGATTCACAATGTCATGGCAACCAAAGTGTTGTACTCCCCCGTCCCACTTTCTTTGTCCACTTATCTTTTGGCACACCATCCAATGCACTTCTTTAATCCATTTTATCTTGTAATTTGTATATTAAAAAATTATAGAAATTATATATTAATAATTTATATCTTAAGACAAATCAAGCAAGATCACACATGACTATATTTAGGCTTACACATTGAGAGAATTTGATGAGTCAAAGTGTTTAGACGAACAGTTCCAAAAGTCAAAAGTGGACAAGGAGAGTGAGAGAGAGGTATTATTTAATAACATTTTTATTAAGATTTATAGTCTTTTACAAAGTACACGTGGTGTTCTCACTTCAAAGTACTCCACATAACATTGTGATTGAAGTCCCTTAGAGCAACTCCAAGGGAAGGGGCATATGAGAGGGTAAAAGATTAATAATTGTGATATATATCTCTTTTTTTAATCAAATCACCCTCCAATGAGAGAGATAAATAAGAAGGCATTATACCTTCTTCAAATTTGAAAAGGTATCTTTACCTTCTTCATTTGGGAAAGCATATCAATTTTTCACATTTTTTAAATTTCTATCAATTACTTTAGTTATTGTATTTTTTGTACTTTTGCTTGAATGTATTATTATAAATTTTTAATTTGTATCTTTGTAATTGTAAAACTTAACGAGTCAAGAATTAACAAAAAGATGATACTTTGTTTTTTAATTTTGTACTTTATATTTGTAAGTTTTTTCTACTCGGGTATTTAAAAATTTACATGTGCAATTGGACATAATGTATATTTAATTATCTGACAACTGACATTCTAATTTTCTTCGAATAAATTAGTTGGATTTTTATAAAATCTTTGAATTTAAAAAATTAATCAAGAAAAAACAAAGGCAGCAAACCTCAAATTTACTTCCCCATGACTTTTTTACGAAGGTATATTTTATTTTCTAATAATTGAAATTTGATTTAAGAAGGTAAATGAACTAATTTTTCCAATAATGTATGGAGATGGATTTTTTCTCTCTTTTGCCTTTTGATTTACATTCCCCTATTAGAGTTGCACATGTTTTGGGAAGGTAACTTGATCATTTGAATAGATAAATAGGATATATAGCTCTCCAATATACTCCTTAATGCGCTCATGGTTCTAAAAACGGTGCAAGTATATCATACTTCATCCGTTCCATAAAACCATTCTCATTTTTTTCTTCCAATTACCTAAAACATTTCCACTTTTTATTAAAAAACAACTTCTACCCCTATTTTTTTCCTAGCGTATCTATCACATCATATTTATTCATTACTAACCAAATTATCACAATTTACTTTTACCATCAAATCAGGGGCAAAATTAGAAAGTCAAACAAAATTAAACTTTCTATATTTCTGCCCAAAGTCAAAATGAAAATGGTTCCAAGGAACCCACAGAGTTGTGAATGCTCTTATCAAATGTTGCATGTTTTACCATTTTTCTAACTTTTTATGTTGATCTTTTATTTTATTTGATTTTTAAAAAAATTGTAGTAAAGAAAAATTTCTCATTTCCTCTTGTATGACACCTCTTATAATATTTTTTCGTCCACAATTTGATTATAATTGTTTTCACTCTCCCCTCGTTAATTTTTATTTGTTTACGTTATTTCATTAAGTATTTGATAAAATAAAATAAAATATTATTGATATATTTTATTTTGTAAAATTTTTTACATAATTTTAATATTTAATTTTATTTTGTTATTTTTTATCAATATAAAGATTTAATTTTAAAAAGTGATATATTTCTCTCTCTAAACGCAATTTGATTTCAAATTGGGAATGTGGGGACTGGGGAGTACTCCCTCCGTCCCTACATATTTGCCACATTTGTATTTTCGAGACTAAATATCAAGTTTTTTGAATTCATTTTATTTACATATTTGTATGAAAATAAAAAATAAAATTTACATATCAAAAAACTACATGAAAAGTTTTTCAAAATAAGAAGTGTCAAAAATATTTTATTTTATCAAATAACCAATGTAGAAATAAACAAAAATTTCCGCGACTGCTGAAAAAGCAAACGTTGTAAATATTTTGGGACGGAGTGAGTATTAATTAAATTCAAAAACTTTAGAATTTACAATAATCAACAAGTGGAGCCAACATGGTTTGATATGGGGCCAAACCACTGAGAAATGAGTGAATGGCTAATGCCATTGGGAATTCCCCCACCTCTCTTTCTTCTCTCTCTTGGTTCTCTTCACGTGATTCTCTGACTGTGTGTGACTCCCCCCACACTCTCTACTTTAACAGCTCCTCCCGTTCTAACTCTACGCCGTCGCATCCGTTTTCCTCGCCTCCCTCTCCCCCTCCACCCCAAGATCCCAAACCCTATTCGGCTCTTCCCCTGGTAAAAACCCTAAAACTGTAAAATTCATCAAACAATTTCTCACCAGAAATGGCAGCTGGTTTCCTTCTGGCATTGCTTTTCCCGCTCCTCCTTTCCGGCGTTCTTCCTTCCTCTTCTCTTCATTCGAGTCCGTTGTTGATACCCTCGGACGCTTCGGCATTGTTGGACTTCAAGCTCAAGGCCGACTTGAAAGGGAATAAGCTTCTGGGATTCTCTTCCAATTCCAGCTCCGGTTTCTGCAAATGGTTCGGCGTCCGGTGCCGGGGAAACAGGGTGGTCCGTTTCGCGTGTGAAGGAATGGGTCTCGACGGCACTTTCGCTCCGGCGACTCTTACCCGTCTTGACCAGCTCAGAGCCCTCAGCTTACAGGGCAACTCCCTCGCCGGACCTATTCCGGACCTTTCCGGTCTGGTTAACCTCAAGATCCTCTATCTGGACCATAACATTTTCAGCGGCCTCGTACCGCCGTCGATTTCCACGCTTCGCCGCCTCAAAATCGTCGATCTCTCTTCTAACAACCTCACCGGCGCAATCCCGGCTTCATTCGACCGCATGGGCAGGCTGTACTATCTCCGACTCGACTCCAACCGCCTCACCGGTTCTGTCCCGCCGCTCAACCAAACCACTCTCCGGATCTTCAACGTCTCCCACAACGCTCTCTCCGGTCCGATTCCGGTAACCGCGGCCCTGTCCCGCTTCAGAAGGACAGCATTCCGATCAAACCCGGATCTGTGCGGCGAGATTATTCACCGAGAATGCCGTCCCGTGCAGCCATTTTTCCGGCCGTCCCCGGCCACTCCAACCCCGCCTCCTCTGCCACCGAGTCAAAACGCACAGCTACACAACGGAGGAGGAGGAGGATACAACTCCGACAAGAAACCCAAGAAAGCAGAACGAAAACGACACATTCTCATCGTGGGGTTATCAACCGGGTTTTTCGTCCTGATTTGCTCGGCCCTCTGTTTCGCCATGGCAGCCAGCAGGAGGTCAAAGTCAAAGGAGTCATTCCCGTCGTCGCCTGGTCCCAAAATAGCCATGGATACCGACGCAGTGATGAGGATAGAGCAAGAAAGCTGCGAGCTGGAGGAGAAGGTGAGGAGAGTCCAAGAAGTAATGGGGAAGAGCGGGAGCCTGGTATTCCCTGCGGGGGAGGCGCAGGGGTACACGCTGGAGCAGCTGCTGAGAGCCTCGGCGGAGCTTCTGGGGAGGGGGACTATGGGGACCACGTACAAGGCAGTGCTGGACAACCGTCTGATCGTGTGCGTGAAGAGATTGGACGCCGGGAGGATGAGGGGGACGGGTAAGGAGGAGTTCGAGCGGCACATGGGATCGGTCGCCGGGCTGAGGCACCCCAACCTGGTTCCTCTCCGGGCTTATTTTCAGGCTAAAGAAGAGAGGCTTTTGGTCTATGATTACCAGCCCAATGGCAGTCTCTCTTCACTCATCCATGGTAACCTTAATATTCTTTTTAATTACTAGTTCATTAATTAGAACATCTTTAATGGAAGATTCTTATTTTAAGGAGCTTATGTGAATCAACCCACTAAAGATGCTCTTAATTGCATAGGGTGCTTTGAACATTAGAACCCTTTACGATTAGTATTTTTGTTTGGATTAATTGAGTGAAAAAAACGCGTAGTTCAACCAATGTAGGTCGATTGGAACTTGGAAGAGACAAAGTTTGAAAGTAGAACTTTGGATTAGAAAGTTTCTGAAAACATTTACGATTTGAAAAATGCAATCCCTTTGTTTTGGAATATGAATCTTTTGTGTTGTAAAGGTTTGAAATTCGAATACAATCAAACCGTTGTTACATTAGTGTGTTGCCCATAGTGTGTTGGTTCTCACAATTTCTATTGAAGGATAAAGTTTGGGGAATTCATTATTTCTTACAACAAAACAACTATTTGTCCCAGTGTCTGTGTTTGCCTTTGGATAAAAAGTCTGTCTTTGCGTTTTCGAATTGCCGTTTTGAAAAACGGCTCGAAGCCAAAACACCCGTACGGTCAAGAAAGTATACTGAGAAGAGATAAATTGAGATTTAATTTCGAGTTGCCCTTTTTTGAATTTTGAATGAGCAGATAGAGAGCACTTTTTGTCAATAATTCCACGTGCAATCCTTCAATGTGAAGAGACCTCTGCTTTTGCTCTTTTGTGAAGCTGTGTGTACTGGCTGGCCCCTTACTCTTAACTGATTGACCACTTTAATGTCATCCACATCATCCCTAAATCTTAATCACTCACTCATCATCTCAATTGATATATGAGAAGATGTATATGAGAATGTCTTATCATTTCCATTAATTGATTTTGGAATTAATATAGATATATTTTATGTCTAAGTTCATTTATTTATGAATCATAAAAGTCACATTTATGAACAATTAATATGGAATGGTTAGATAAATATTGATTATTGATGGTTTTTGGTGTCACATTGTGTGGTGGTTACCTCTTCTGTTTGATCAGGTTCAAAGTCGTCCAGAGCAAAGCCACTGCACTGGACTTCATGCTTGAAAATTGCAGAAGACGTAGGTCAAGGCCTCTCCTACATCCACCAAGCATGGAGGCTGGTTCATGGCAACCTCAAGTCCTCCAACGTCCTCTTGGGGCCCGACTTCGAGGCCTGCATTTCCGACTACTGCCTCTCCGTCCTCGCAAGCCCCTTCCCCGACGACGACCCCCCCAACTCCGGTCCTTCTTCTTCTGCTGCCTGCTATGCCGCGCCGGAAGCGCGGAAACCCAACCGCCACCACCAGCCCACCTCCAAGTCGGACGTGTACTCGTATGGGGTTGTCTTGATGGAGCTCCTCACCGGGAAGCATCCCTCCGAGCACCCCCCGGGGTCGATGGAGGATGACGCCGTGGCTGACTGGGTGAGGTGGAGTAGGGGAGACGGCGGCGGCGGGGACGAAGAGGAGGAAAACGGGAGGCATAAGCTGGAGATGATATTGGAGGTGGCGATGGCGTGCAGGGCGGCGTCTCCGGAGCAGAGACCCACCATGTGGCAGGTGCTGAAGATGATCCAGGAGATCAAAGACGCCGCCGCGGCCGTGATGGACGATGAAGAAAACGACCTGCTCACCACTGCCGATCCTTGAGAAGCTACTAAATTGAAAGACTGTGGTCTCATTCATTTTTGCCATGTACTGTATCTGTATATGTTTTGTCAATTTGTACCCTGTATATATATCTTTGACGTCGCGCCGGCAAGATGATGCTTGTTAGCTTATAAAACCTATTCTGCACCTATAACTATAAACTTTGAGTTTTTCAGTTGATTCTTTTTGTAACAAACTCTGCCAATCTCGGTCCAAAAGGTGGAATCGTCCACCCCAGGCGACAAACTCTGCCAATCTCAGCTTAAGATCAAGATGCTCTCTTTTCTCACTAAGCTTCTTTGCATGCATCAAATTAAAGGGCTTTTGTCTTCTCTAAAAGAATCTTACTTTGAAATTTGGTTTTGTCCAAAATAATGAATTCACATTCAATAATCCAATATGGGTAGAGGAAAACTATTCAGAAATATGACTAAAACATAATTACTTTTTTAATATAAAATTATATATTTTTATTTTTCAATGTATGACCTTTGGTTAGGACCTTTGGTTATTATCAATTAGTCATTATTCAACTAAATGTTTATCATTACTGAATATTATTTCTCCTACTAGACATTATTAAGTTCTATTTAGGGAATAAAAAAATTTTTTAAGTCCTATATTGAAAAATGACTTTTGTTTTAATCCTATTTAGTGCAAATTTCACAAAACTATTCCGTATCTTCTAGAGCATTGAATTGGTAATTTGGTATTGTTAAAGTTTGGGTTTGGCGCATATATCTTTAAGGTTTTGAAAAGCCCGTTTAGTTTATGGGTCGGCAAATAGTCTGTATATGAACTCAATCAAAAACTCAAATTTGTGATTCTTGTTTATGAAAATTTTACTTATTTGTATGAATCGATTTGTCATGTTAACATTGTCCTTGCCCCTTAAATTGAAATTTGACATCTTGATTTCAACAATTTGGAACAGGTAAAAGTAAAAATTGTTTGGCCTTATAAGTTAACAATCTGTATGACATAGGATAATTGCTTTTGACGTTTCTTAATATGGGGTTTTGGGATATGGATTTGAGGGGCGACCGCAAAAATTGCATTTTTGGAAACTTAAAATTTTGATTTTGAATGGGAGTTTATCTCAAGTTTCATGTTTTGAAATTTTAGAAATTTTCTTTAACTTCTAGCAAAATTCAATTACAAACCTATAAATGTTTCGTTCTCCTTTAATTGAAATGAAATGTTATCTCTCAAATATTGAAATTTGAGAGATAGTGTTTGAGAATTTAGATATTGAAATGAAGTGTTATCTCTCAAATATTGAAATGAAATGCTATCTCTCAAATATTTGTCATCTCTCAAATACTGAAATGAAATGCTATCTCTCAAATATTAACTTCTACCAATTTGAAATTGAAATGAAATGCTATCTCTCAAATATTGTCAAAGTAACACTAAACTTAAGCTAGTGTTTGAGAATTTAGATTTTTTTAATTCTAGAATTTCAACTTCAATATTTAAAGTTCTTAAATTTTAAAGTATGAAGAGGAATGTATGAAGTTGTGAATGGGAAGAACTAGAAGAATTTGACATAAAGCTAAACCTATTTTTATTGTGTTTCCAGACATCCAAACGCACCATAAAAAAATTCATATGCAGAGTGGGCCTTGAAAGATCTTTCTTGGGCCTTGAATGTTAGAAAACCAGAAATGTTCGGTCGGCGACGATCTTACTACGAAGAGTAAAGGCGCGGGACTGCAGAACTGCCTAGAAACATCTGGGCTCCGTAAAAAATGGTCACTTTAAATTTCATTCCTTTTTCTCCGGCATCCCTCTGATCGATCGGAGAGCGAAATTTGAGATTTTTTTTTTATTTCGGAAAGAAAGTAAGCGACGCTCCAATTGAAATGCCATGGATGGTACGGACTCCGATATGATTGAGGTGGAGTCCTCTCCGGCGCAGCCGGTTCGCCCGCCTCCATCCTCTTCTTCCGGGCCAGACCAGGACGAATTCGTCAGAAATTTGCTCGCCATGGCTCGCCGACTCATCGGTCAAAACGAGCCTTCTCAGGCTCTCCATGCGGTGAGATGTTTCGTTTCAAATCCCTTAGTTCTGTATTGTTTGTTTGTTTGTTTTCTCAGAGTTTGCTAACCCTCTCTTCTTATTAAGGTATATTCATTCTTTATTACTATTATTATTTACATTTCTATTGCAACTTTCATGAGTTTATCCATGTCAATTGGAGCAATTAGGCAATGCCATGGCTCATGAGCTTGAAGTTGGAATGCTTTCCTCTTTAGGGCGCCGTAGCAGCCGAAATTAGCTAAACTTAGTTGCTTAGACTCAGATTTTTGAATAGTACTGTTTGAGATTATCCTCTAATAAAAAGATAGAGTACTCCGTATTAGATTTCCCATGATCACCAATAAAAAGATACAGAGTACTCCTGATTAATTAACCCACCATTAACCATTACCTTGCCTAATGCGCGTAGTATGATGTATTTTATAGAAATTGAACAACTCCAAATACATAAAATATGCTCCAATGAAATCTCATAGCTCAGTGGTAAAAAGGGAAAATGACATCCCTATCACCAACATTGATTTCAAACTACCAAAATGCTCTTTAAAATGTGTTCAGGGAACCAATTCAACCAATAGCACAAACTTGTGGTTGTGTCACAGGAAGGGTTTTTATATTCTAAGTTCTAACACGCTCCCTCACGTGTAGGCGAGATTTGTTCTTGTTCTAGCCTCCCACGTGAACATTAATTTTTTTAAACTGGATGAGGTTGAGTTTCAAACTCGTGATCTCTTGGTCAACAAGGCTCCGATACCATGTCAAGGAACAAATTCAACCAAAAGCTCAAGCTTGTGATTGTGGCTTATAAAGAGTTTTTATATTCTAACAAAATGCCATTTTCAAATAAAAAAGCATCAATTTGGTTGTTACGGCGTGAGCTTACAATTCTTTTTTATATAGAGTATATTAGTAATGAGTTTCTAAAAGAAAGTACCTCTTCCATTGAGTGTTTGCGAGAGGAATGCAGGTCCCGAATTGTTCCATGGGCATCTAGTTGGGGGGATAAGAAACAAAACATTGTGTTTTTCTTCTTTTCTGCTGTTACTTTTCATGGGTGTAATACATCACTCATTCTTTCATGTGTCAATTCATCTCACACTGTTTTGCAACTTTTTTTGGCTTTCTTATCTGGCTTTCATGCGTAGTAAGATTTTTCAAATTGATCCTCTGGGTTAACACTTAAACAACAGGTGGTGATGGCTATCAGGTCAAGAGGTGGGGATGAGGCTGTGCACCAATTGCTCAGCCGTGCTCGGGAGCTGTACACTAACAAAGTGCAGGCAAGTGCAGCAGCAGATCAACTGGCTTCTCTGTTTTCTGAATTTGCAATTGCCGAGGTCGCCACTCCAAAATACGACAATGGGGATCAACCAATTGCAGAAATAGATAAGAGTGGGACATCTATACTCTCAGAGACGGGGAGGAAACAGGTTATGGTGGATGCATTCTCTGATGGAAGCAGCTTCGTGTGCTATCAATGTGGGGGTTTGGTCAGCACACTTAGGAAAGACGAGCACTACTCGTTCTGGTGTTGTAAGATGTGACTTCATCTCTTGTCTTGTTCTTTTAATGTTTTGATTGACAATGCAACGGTGTTGGCATCTGAGATTGTGGCAAAATACCATATGCATTTAGATGTTAGAGAGTGTTATTGTGAAGTGGTGAAGAATATATACAGTGCAACCAGTTACCCTCACTCCATCAGTGTGATCATATGTAACTTTTTTGAAGTTTTTGAGTGTTGTCATGGTGTCATTCCATTAAGATTTGTGTATTGTACATTTGTCATCCCACATACATTAAAGGAAGTCCCCTTTTGAAGTTTACACTTTATACAGCTTTAACAAAGGGTATGTTTGTTGTAATCTCCCACCAACAATAAAAATTCCTTTCTAGTTTCTAGGGTCATTGCCCATGAGCTATACACAAATCGAACACGTTATCCTATGCTATCTAGCAATTCCGTCTGTATGTATGTATGTATGTCTATTTGCTTTTGTGAGAGGTTCCATAGGCATTGATCTTCAACCATCTTTTCGTGTGCATCACACACAACTAGTTGACAGTCAACTCAATCAACCCGTTCAAATCAGCCAACACAAACAGTCAATACCTAAGGTTGTTTGGGTATTTTTCCGGAACTATCCAGCACGATTTCGAACAGCTCCTCTTCGGATTCAAAGTCAAAATCTAGCAGCTGGTGCTGCTTCAGTCCATTAACACCATTGTTATTATTAGTATTGTTGTTTTTTTCTGCAGTGGTGCTTCTATTCATCCACTGATGAGAATCAATCCTCCCTATAGAGAAAAGCTCTTTGCTGTCTTCATCATAATAGCCTATAGCTGAAGGATTGTTTGGTGGGCCTGCGATGCTTGGGTTCGGCGTTCTCTGCAGATTTGCAGGTGCATACTTGAAGGCTCTTTGGCCAAGATTCACAACAACCAATACGTCTGCAGAATTTGCGGCTATGGTTGGATAGAGCGGGCTTCCAAACTCATGTGATTTGCAGTGAACTTCATGCATGAGCTGTGAATCCAGTGTGAAGAAAACCTTCTTCTGGATCGGATTGTACCCGCATCCGATTACCCTTTCGGTTCTCCCCCATTCCTCTCCTTCATACACTAGCATCATCCCTACACAAATCCAGACAAATAGAATTAGCTCAATTGTGGGTAAGGCCTTCATCTTTTCGTAGAATTTTACTGGGTTTTTTTGTTGTTATTACTTCATATATATAATTTTAGATGATTTATCTTGAGATTGATCATTACTCAACAATTTGTCATTTTATATCTTAGAAACCAATTCAATTTAAAGTTGAAGCCTGTGATTAGAAGTCCTGAAAAAAAAAATTATGCTTACCATCAAGGCAGACAGAACCATTAGAGTTGAATCCAATGGAACCAGGGTAGCTCCCAGGAATCTTCATAGGAAGAAAACCACTTCCAGTTAGTCCTATGGACATCCAAACATGCTGGTCATTATTTCTCTTATTTCCCTTTCTGCCCTCATCACTGCTTGTAACATGGGCCAGAGATTTGGCATTGTAGTCTTCTCCAATTAGGGTAATCTTGTCATCTTGAGATTTCCGGCCATCGTCCTGGTCAAGTGGCAAGACTGTGATCTCGAAATAGGCTTCCTGCGGGAAGGAGGAAGTTCCAGAAGGTGGGCCCGGGAAAGGGAGAGAAGTCTTTATGACAGCGGCTGCCGCCATTGAAGAAGACTTGTTCCTGCTGCTGGCGATCCTCTTCAGGAGCTCTGGATTGCACCGGAATCTGATTTTCTGCATAAAATCAGTCGTGCCCGGAGAGGCTTCCCACCGTATATTCACCCCCGTTTGAGTGTCGCCGGCCGTGCAGGAACTTAGCAGAGACCTGGCGGATCGAGACGCCGGCCGGGGCGGTGTGTGGACACTGAAACCAAACTGCGACCATCCGTTCTCGACGGCGTCGGTGATCAGGTGAGGATGGTCGGCCCAATTGAAGTTGGGCCTGGACGAAGGCCCGCGTCGGAAAACGAAGTAATCGGTTTTCTTTGTCCCGTTTCGGTCAAGACGTTGAAGACTCACATGGTGGAGTTCCGATAAGCCGCCGCCGCCGCCCGAGTGCAGATTCCCTGCAAAATCCGGCCTTTGTTCTTCAAAACGCTCTCTGCGTCTTCTGAGACAACATGCTCTGACAATAATGATCGCAAACAAAAGAGAAAGAAGAATTCCACTCGAAACCGCCACCAAGGTGATCTTCAACCATCCTTGCATTTCTTTTCTTCTTCCTCTGCAAATTTCTTAAGTTTTCTGGGAAATTTTTGTTTAAAGAGGGGGTTACGTTACTCCATCAACTGTAATTATTATGTACAGAAAGAAAGATCGGTTTTTTTCTTGGATTTAAATAGGAAGGTAACCGGTGGAGCCGTTGACTATGGACTATTCAAGAAAAGGCTGCAATTCTTGCAAAGTTGCGGTCTTGTGGGAAAATTAACAAACAAAAAAAGGATGAAAATCTAAAAAGTTTTCACTTTCTTTATTTTAAAATTGGGATTTGAGCGACGAATTGGACCTCGAACGACACGAGTCATGTTCGGTGAGATGAGAATCCAAAACAGCAAAAAAACCGGCAAAAATTGGCAAACGGGCGATCTGGTAGACCCTATTAGGTAGCTATTTTAGTTATTTTCTTCGTCCAAAAATAAATTGTCCAAATATTATTTACTTCTTTGTCTTAATTCTTTCTTCTCAGTTTAACTTTTTCACATTTTTAATTTTTGACTTTGACTTCAAATTTTACCTTTCTTAAAAAAGATTTTTTGAATTTTTTTGCAATCATTCAAAATATAGAGTTAGAAAATAATTGGTGTAAACACATGAGAATATTAATGTCATTTGTCATCTTTTTTTCTAATAGGAAGGTAGTTTTAGGACGGAGAAAAAGAGGAAGTTAGAAGAACGTTTTAGGACAGAGGGAGTATATTTTTAAACTTTATTCACTACTCAATTTATAATACTCTGGGGTATAAAATAAAATGTTACATCTTATTTTGAAAAAATTAACAAGTTTTTAATATATTCATTATTTTTAAAATTTTATACTTACAATCAAATAAATAGAATTTAAAATAAAATCAGTCGCGACTCCTAAAATCAAAATGGGTAATTCAGTGGATGTAGGCTTGCAGTACAAATAAGATATTGAAATGCTAATCTCAAATAAAAAGATCACAAATTTTATAAAGTTGTTATTCATGAATATAATTCTTTTACTTTTCAATTGCATGAGATGGTTATTTATTTATATATCCTCCATTTTTTAAAACTCTTCATTGTTTATTTTTTATTTTTTCAACAAAACTATTCCACTTTTAAATAAAATGACTGATATATGTAAATAAAAAACTGCAATATACTTCATTTGTATTACATTGATATAATAAATTATTTAAAGAAATTTGTTTCTTTTTTTCCTCTTCGATGTCAATAACATGGTTAGAAAGTAAGTGCTTTAAAATTGGACTATTGGAGGCCTACTTACCCGCACGGCCCAATTATATATCCCATTTCCAACCAGAGAAGTTTTGACTTTTGAGTCCGTCTCGACTTGCCGTATGAATATTTTGGTTGTCCAAATAAATATTTTTAAAGATCTATTGGACGGATCGACCCTTGTTAGTAAATGTATAGTAAATAGTGAGTATGGAATTACTGATGATCATTTAAATGATTAAATAGTTTTAATTTCAATGTCTTGTATCACAGAGATCCAAGGGTGAAAGATGCCCGCAGACATGTAAAAAGTCTAGAGAGAAAGTAGAATCAGAGAAATGACTGTGTATAGTTACGAAGTTACATAATGATGGATACCCTAGACTGGAGAGGCAGGAGGCAGGCCCATCTAGGGGTGTTCATCGGTCTAAAACCAGACCGGACCAGACCGAACTAGACCGGACCAAAAACCGAACTATGCTAAAACCTAGACCGAAGACCGGACCTAAATGTAGTCGGTTTTGGACCGGACGACCCGAAATCTTATGGACCGAACCGGTCCAGACCGAATCCAAGTGTGGCCGGAATTGAAACTTTCCTCACCAGCAAAACCCTAGGTGTGGAAAATTGGGGGTTTTGCAATCTCAAACCAAATGCTGCAATTGAGGAGTCAGGGTGGATCGTAAAGTTGTCAGGAAGATGCTTGGGTGGGTGTGTGACATCGAATTTGTCGGAGGTGGCCGGAATTTGCAAATACCCCCGGAAACCGCCGTGACGGGTCACAACTGATTCCCAGCGATTCCGGCGTCCAAATCCCATTATGCTGGTGGCGATGGGGTCGTATGGAGCACATGAGGCGTTTGGGAGTGGTGGGGAGGCTCGCCATTGCGTGTGGTGGCTGAAGCAGATTGGGCAGCGGCATGGACGGTGGCTGCTGCGATATGATGTTTCCTGGTAGCATTTTCGGACGGTCATCGAATCTGGAAATCTGCGAGCGGACGGTCAACGATTTGCGCCTCTAGAGTCACAGGCGACTGGCCAATTGCCGATTATGGGAAGCATATCTGCAATTGGAGAATGGAGATTTGGAATTGGAGTTAAGGTGGAGAATTTTTGGGAAGGTGGAAGGGGAAGAATAGGAAGATAGAGCGGTGATGGAGTGATGGTCTCTGGACTCGATCTTTTACTGATACTCCGTAAAATTAATGGTTTCAGTCTTTTAGGTCTGGACCGAATGATATTCGGGTTTGGACCGGACCGGACTGAATGATATTCGGGTTTGGGCCAGACCGGACCGAAACTTGAAATTGTAAAATTGGTGGATCGAAGACTGACCCGAAATCCAATCGGTCCGGGTTCGGTCTGGACCTATCGATCCGGTTCGATCGGTTTTTTGATCTAGACCTAAACATGAACAACCCTAGGTCCATCTAAATAGTGGGACTAGCAAAGAAAACCCAACATGCTTTGAAGTGTGGCAAAATAATTATACTCGACCTATGTAGCATAGACGGACTCAACCGTCTGATGTACAGTCTGACCAAGCCATATTCTCAAGACAAGTACTCGACCGCTGCCAGGGTCACGAACTCGGACCAGGTCACTCTCCTATACCACGTACTTGATTGCACTCAGCCTTTGCCAAGGTCATGTACTCGAACTCCGTCACCGCCTCACACTCAGCTTCATGAGTTGCGGATTTAGAGAGAAAGCACAATATTGAACAAGAAGTATGAGATTCCTTCAACCCACTCAAAGTCACCGAGCCTAGTGGAGAACATTCCCTTATGTGATGATGTAACCATGCAATGTATAGTGCATGTACTTAGTGCAGAACATTCTTTGTACCACGGTCAAAGACCCCGTATCTTATGGGTTTGACATGGACTAGAGGACACAAACAAATAAGACATTTAACTTGTATTAATATTTCCCCCCACCTGCACTTTAGAAGGGGGTCATCACAACATTTACTAAGTAATTGAGTAATATATCAAGACTCAGGGCAATCTGCTCATTCACTTCTCTCCTTTACCTAGTCTACTTCTAGGCCCGAGTTTTAAAACTAGTCACAGAGTATGGATGGTTGATACCAGGATCGAACCCCCAGTAAAATGTCGAAGGGGTGATATTTCTAGACGAGGGGAATCTTGTTTCACAAGTCTCATTACTTTGGCGCGAAGGACTTTGTAACTACCTTTCTAAAATATCTACGCTATTCGAGCCGACTCAATAGTCTGAGTTGCCCGTCAATCCTTTATGATTACAACAAGTACTTGGCGCTCAAGTATTCATGTCTAGTCAATCGCACCCCATTCTTGACAGGGCTATCGTCTTTGATCATCTATGTCTTCTTCTTTAGGCGTGATGCCCCGTCCAAATGGTATTTGTCACAATGTTTGTTTGCTTATTTGAAATTTGAAATTTTTTGATGTTTTTATGATCAATGCGTTAGTTTAATATTTAAATTAATTATATGTTATAGACATAATTTTTATGTTTGTGTGTTTTTTGAAATGTTTTACTGTATACAATTACACAATAGCTAATATTAGTATCTATTGCATAGATGAATTAGTCTTTAACTCAATTGTTTGTCTGGTTCAACATACCCTTATGTAGGTAGAGTAATGCAATAGACAGAAAAATAATTTCACGTCTGTAGAACACATTTAATGCGGAGACAACGTCTTACACACATGTTCTCCGGTGGTGGGTATGTCAACCCTCATCTGTCATATTTTCTTGCTTATTTTTCCCATTGCTGCTCTTCCTATAAATGGGCAATGGAGGGAATAGTGGAGGGGATCGCATCCTAGCGAGAGAAAGCATGAATATTAGGTTGAATCCCGACACAAATTGTCTCATTATAATCAGGTTAGGACCCCCCTCCCCCCGAGTATAGGTCGATATTCAAATGATCTGAATAGCCAAATCCATACTCCACGCTCTAACTCTTACCATTTCTCTCTCAATCTCATTATCAGCCCAGAAGAAGAAGTTGGGCCTTGCAAGCATTTACACCATTAAATTAGATTAGAAATACATTTAAATTTAATTAGAATCATATTATATGATAATGCATTTTAATTAGATCAGAATGAATCAGTCTTATCATTTGGGTCTAATATGACCAACTCATAATTTATCTTTTTTTATACGGAGTACCAAGGAATGTAATACTCTTTTTGCACCAAAATGTTTAACATTCTACGCAAAACGAAGTGAAAATTTAAATTTTTAAATTTATTTTATTTAAAAGTTACGGAGTAGTATATAATTTAATAATAAAACTTATATATTTAAAATTATATCAAAAGTTTTATAATACAAAATGTGGCGAGAATTTTTTTATCACACAATCAATCAAACCGTACAAGTAAACAAAAGTTTTTTTAGATTTTGGATAGTGAGGAGTGTAGTTCTTTTTTTGAGATGAAGGGAATTGCAATCTCTCTCTCTCACTTTTTGAAAGTTTTGTTATTTTTATTTTTTCTACACTTTTTAAAAAAATTCATCAAATTATAAAGTTATTTTCAAATGGAATTTTTTAAAACAAGAACTACTCGTATATTGTTAAGGAAGATAACACTCTTTTCCTCATACTAATTATAAAGTTACTTTCAAATTGAGTTTTTTTAAGACAAGAATTACTCCTATATTGTCAAGAAAAATAATACTCCTCCTGATACTATATAAATACGGTTATATCAACTTTTATTTTTTAACTTGTTGATATAAGATTTGTTTGAGAATAGCGATAGATCTTAATATTAGCATTTTGAAAAAGTTATATATGAAGATTTTTTTTAAATTGATCTATACTACTCCTTTCGTCCTAAAACTATCTTCACAGTTATTATTCACACGGTCAAACTTAAATCACTTTTCTTATCTATTTTCGTTGTTTATTTGATAAAATAATATAGTCTTGTCACCTCTCGTTTTGTAGAACTTTTGATGTTATTTTTAAATATGTAAATTTTATTTTTTAAGTTTACTCCTACAATCAAATAAATTACTCCCTCCGTCCCACTCTATTTGTCCACTTACCTTTTGGCACACCATCCAATACACTTCTTTAATCCATTTTATCTTGTAATTTATATATTAAAAAATGATAAAAATTATATATTAATAATTTATATGTTAAGACAAATCAAACAAGATCACACATGACTATATTTAGGCTTACACATTGAGAGAATTTGATGAGTCAAAGTATTTAGATGAACAGTTCCAAAAGTAAAAAGTGGACAAAGAGAGTGGGACGGAGGTAGTAAATTGAAAATAAAATCGATCAAAGCTCGTAAACACAAACGGAAAGATGGTTTTAGAACGGATGGAGTATTAAAATTTTATCTAAAAACTAAGACTAATCGAAAATGTAATTTCCAAAGTGGTCCATAATATTTTAAATAGAATATACATAGAGTAAATTTATTTTAAAAATTACGCTAGTTCTCATACAATTTAGATAAAACATAATTTAAATAAAAATTTGTAAGCAAATAAAAAACTTTTCTTTTTGCACAAACAAATCAAGACCTTTTCGAGAGATGCAATAAAAGATTCTTATTTTTATTATTTGAGGAAAGCCCTCATGAGCTATTGAGCCATGAGGCCATGAACCCACACAGCACGGCGCATTTTAGAAACGCTTAAACCGCCTCCCTCTATAAACCTGAAGGTTCCCGGCGAACTCACGGCGAAACGTGGAAAGCTGCCAAGCGTTTAACGGAGGAAACAGAGAAATTCAACCAGAGACTTTGGCTGGTTGTAGAGGAGGAGGCCAGATTTTGAGTCAATGGCAATGGGGAGGCAAAGATCGATGCCGCCGCAGCCGCCGCCGCTGCACAATTTTACCCTTCCGCGTGGGTTGGAGTGGGGAAAGCGAAAGTTTTCGGACGGCGAAATTCCCGCCGTTCACCGGAGGTCTAATGGGTCGTTGCCGGAGAAGTCGATCGGGAGGCGGAGGACGGAGGCTGCTTCGCCGTGGCAGAGTCTCGGATCGGACGAGCGGGGTCTGGGCATCGGGGCTTTACATGATGGGCAAGCGGAGCGGGGCCGCGAAGTCCGATCGGAGGGAGAAGACGGGATCGCCGCCGTTAGAAAGAAGCTGTTGCTTGATCTCCAAGCAGCGACGGCGAAGATGAAAGAGGAAATTATCAGGATGGGTCTGAGAGATGAAGACCCAAAGCCGACGGCGGGAGCGGGCGAGGAACGGCCTCCGGCTCCGACGACTTCCCCGGCCACTATTGCGCCGGCGGGACCATCTGAAATCCCCAGGCCGCGGAACTTGCGGACTCGCCGGTCACGGATTAAGCACCCGAAAGGGTTCGCCGCCGATTCCGGTAAACCGAACCCGGATTCGAAGACCGAAACCATATCTCCAATCGTCCCAAGTATCTCCGCCGCCGCCGGAGTTTTCGCCCGCGGGGAAAAACTGGAGAGGGCAAAGTTCTCCATCGCACTCACCCGTCAACAGATCGAGGAAGATTTGGCGGCCATAACTGGCCACAAACCGGCACGCCGGCCCAAGAAACGATCCAAGATTATTCAGAAAAATCTGGATGTAAGCCTTTTTTTCATCAACATTTACGCGATTCAATACTGGAATTGATTTTTATTCTTGAAATTAACTGTTTATCTTCTTCTTCTTCTTCTTTGTGGATTAAATTGCAGAGCCTATTTCCTGGGTTGTGGTTGACAGAAATTAGTGCTGACATGTACAAAGTTCGTGATGATCGATAGAGGGCAAAGGGGTTTTGTCTTCTTCCAATACTCATCGCCATTGTAGAGATCTGCTCTTCCTGCAAATCCGAAACTTGGAGAGAAGAACAATGGGGTTTCTCCGGCGGCGGGTCACCGGCGGTGAAACAAGTTGGAAATCTTGAATTTTTTTTTCATTCAATTTTTTGGGTACATTTTTATTTGAGTGCATATGTTAAAATTGTTTCATGAATACTCCGGTGTTGTTTGTGAAATTTCTTTTAACGTGAAAAGTGATGTCTATCAAATAAAATTCTTGTTCAATTCAAAGTGCAGACCAAAGTTTTATTTATTTCTGATTATTCTAATGGTTGTGCTTGTTCCAACAGTACCATTTTTATGATTGATGAAGTTCTATGCATTACCATCGTCCCAAATCTGCAACAAAGATGTACACAAAAATATATTGTACTATTTTCTACGTCTAAAAATTATCTTTCAGTTTTGATTTTACACGCATATTAAAAAAATAAAAAATATTTTGACATTCTATATTTGTGTTTGGGACATTATAAAAAGTGAAATAAAACATAAATATAGATAGTAATTAATGTATAAAGTCTAATAAAAGTGAGGGCAATAATATGGTTTAAAATAAAAGCATTTGTCAAAAAAAGAAAAAGGAAAATAATTTATGAACAGATGAATAAGGAAAATGAGAATATAAATTATGGACGGAGGGAGTATATTACATTCCTTCGTTAGGATTTGTTCGTTTTTTAATTTTTATAATTAATTATGTTTAATTTTTTTCTTATATATAAATAGGATATTAAATACTTGAAATAGTATTTTAAAATATATTATAGTATAGAGTAAATCTAATAAAATTATTTTGTGTATTAATATTCATATCCAATTTATTTAATTAATGTCAATGTTTGTTAATTTTAATTGAAAAAGTTAAAATTAAATGTGTACCTCAAATGTACTTCACCCTTTTCATTGCTACTCATTTGGGCTTTTAAGATAAATAAATAAGTAAATAAATAAATAAAAATGAGTGATAAAGGAGGAGTGGTTTACATTTGGAGTACACCAAAAGTGTCCCCTAACATCTACAAACACTCTCAATTTCTAACATGGGTGTTATTGTGTAACACTCGATACTAATTTCCATTGGTACATATTTGATTTATAGTGAGTACTAGTTGTACACTAAAATAGTGTGTGTCATCTAAATTTTGTGTTTGTACTTTGTACATTTGACGACAAAACACAAAGCTAACTTCTTGTGTAATGTGTATATAGATTTATTGTGTGCATTTTGATGATGAAAACTAACTCTTGTACATTACAATCATGCTAGACCTATATCAAAATAATGTATGCACATCTAAATCTTGAATGACATTTAATTTATATTTGTATCCTACAAATAAGTCTCAATTATGTCACAACTAAAAAAAGAAAATTGTACCGTTTATCTATAAATTCTGTGGAAACTACATGATTTATTCCTGAACATTGAAAAGTGTATCGTTTATTCTCAAACTTTTCAAAAATTGCATGATTTACTCTTGAACAGTTTAAAATGTTGCATCATTGGCCCTAAAAAACTAAAGAAGGAGTGTGTTGGTCTCACACACGAAAATTGCGAGTATGATTCATCTGGTCATTGTGAATTTTCCAAAGTATCATTCCCTAAAATTATCATCTTTATTTAAATATTCATCGGTAAAGCGTGTAATATTCAAAGGTATTTGGTGCATTTTTTAATGTTCAGAGGTAAACTGTGCAATTTTGAAGAATTCGAGAGTATTTGGTGCAGTTTTTAATATTTAGGGGTAAACTGTATAATTTCTCGAAGAATACGAGGGTAAACGGTGTACTTTTCTCCAAATAAATACGGAGTATTAAAGATTAATATCTTTTAGTTCTTGTAAAGTAAACAACTTTTGTTTTTGGTCGTTGTAATTTTTTTAAAAAAGTCATCCTTATAAAATTTCATTTTAAAGATAGTTCTATAATATAATTTACCCTTCAAATTTGCTAACATATTAATTTCGTACAGAGTAATAAACATCTTAGTTTTATTGATGGTCAAAAACCAGCGAGTAAGCCAACCGAAGAGTCGGGTTTAGGTGAGTAAGCAAAGAGAGTAAGTAAGAAAACCGTAAAGAGCGAGAGAGTGTGATGTATAAATTGTTGTATTTAGGTGCCCTAACGGCAATCAAATACCTATGTAACTGTACACTTTATCATGAATGAAAGGCCTTGAAGTATGTTTTATATCTCGTGTAACATAACATAGCTTCAGTCCATAGACGATAGCGCTTCAGTAACATAGATTAGGACTACGATGTTCTGATTATGAGACTGTTACTTCTTGACGAAGGCTATGTCTAGAATATCCCTAGTCGCACTTTATGATAATACGGACGTCATAACGTATCAAGACTAGTACGTACGAGATGAGATAGTTGCGTCTCATAGACTATAGGTATTGTGATATCTTAATCTGTACGTAGGTGCATATTATATTGATAGTATGTGACTGGATTGACCCATCTTGAGAATACTGCATGGATCTACAGTAATGTGTTTATCAGTATTCTCAAATCGACCTTGCTATAACTATCCTCAGACTTGAAGTTATTACATTCTCTGATATGTGGGGCCGTATGCTTTGATTCATAACTAATGCTATCTGAAATACTGGTAGACGTACAGTTATGCGTTGGGTATGCCGCTAAGCATATTTAGAGATGTGAATAACAGATACAGGATCTGTNTATTAATATCATTGCCAGTGTTATGGATACCTAAAGGGTCACACACTTAGGACTTGTAAGGGAGTAGTATACTACACTAGTGGGAGTAATATTAAATATATAGTTGTGATAATTTTATATATATATGTATTTCGAAAATACATATGTATTTTAAAATTATATTTTGTTTGTGTCATTTTAATTATATGATAATTATATTTTGACAAAACAAATTTTTATTATATATATATATGTAGCGCCGAATGTGTGTGTGTGTGTGTATATATATATATTATTTTATTTTTCATCATTTTAATTATATGATAATTATTGATGTCAAAAATAAAATATGATATATTTCAAATATGTGATGTCCGAAATTTCAAGAGGAAAAATCCAAGACCATTTTGATTTTATACATAAAGTATTTTTAATGTCAAATTGATATATTTGATTATTATTTGATGTAGGGATTCTATTTTGTTTTGTTATGGTGGTTAGAGACATTGCATTTTGATTAATTCATTAACACAACTTAATGTCTTAAGGAAGCTTCATGGCATCTTACATTAATTAATGTGTTATAAAATGAAATAAATCCCACCCCATTACACATATAATTTTCGGCCATCCCAATTTTAGAGAGAAGAAAATTTTATTTTGTGTTCAAAGTTATTTTTCTAAAGTGTTAGAAATATACACAAAATATTATAAACAAATATTTATAAAATAAATATTTTACAATATATTTATTACTCCCAAAGTAGTATTATTATAGTTTTTACTATCCTATATTAAACTTGCTAGCACAAGTTTAATCTTGGACTCCGGAGCAAGTTCGTGTGGATACGTTGGAGGCTTCATACGTTTGGCGCTACGTTCATCTCCTCAAAACCATCCCCGACCGTTCCTCCGTTCTTCGTTTTCACCGTTAAGGTAAATTTCTTACTATAGCTAGTAATTTACGTAAGTTGTTCTTGGGTGGAATCGAGTTTTGGACTATAAATTTTTGTTTTCCGCTGCGTTATCCAAGCCTCGTTTCCCAACA